TTAATTTTAATGTACTAACGTAGTTTATCTAGTAAGGAGTACAACCTCCAGAAGGGGGTGCTATATTCCGACAGGCATTAATTTTAGGTAGTGAAAAATGCATATTACTTTACAGTATACAATTAAATGCCCATTTTGCGCGCAAGTCTTAAAACGCATCGAATCCAGGACAAACCATGGTGCTAAGTACAATGGTGGTGAAACACAATGCTTTATGGGAATTTAGGCTTGTTACAAAATGGCCGCCAAGCAAGATGGCGGCTCATGAAGTACATGTTGGAAAACAGATCACAGTTCACCAGGATGACCACGCAAGACTACATACCAGGTACGTACAGACGTAGGATACATTGGTGCTTCATCTTTCATGTGACTTGAACTTATAGAAGAGCCGATTGCCCTGTTTCTGAACCTTTCGTCATGGAAAACTGCAGTTTGTGCCCTCTGACGACATTAAAATTTGATCTGTGGTAGTATGGTAGTTCGAAATCGCATTTGAAGTACTGATTTAATTACTACTATATGGGCCCTTTTAGCACTGAAAATCTGAAAATAATCAGTGGAACCGATGTCGAGAAATTGAACCCACAATGTATTTGTCCCCCTCCCACCCACTGAACAAAGTGTGTTTACTTCAAGCACTGGCATAAATTCAAAAATATCACACGATCTTTTTCAAAGTAGGATAAAACTTCAATACATATATCAAACCAACATATTCCGGAATATGAAAGAGATCAGGACTTTTGATCTAGAAATAGAGACTGTCAAAGTTGCTTGAAATTTGGGCAGCAATTTTGTTTACACTATGTGAACTTCAAGCACTGGCATAAATGATAAAAATTCAACTGATGTTCTGCAAAGTGAAATCAAACATGACTACATACATCACTCCAACACATTCTGGAATATCAAGGAGATGCCAACTTCTTATTTAGAAATATAGACTGTCAAACTTACCTAAAATTTTGTCAGCCATGTTGTTTACAGTATAGGAACTTTAAGTGTTGGCATAAATTAAAAAAAATCAACTAATCTTGTTGAAAGTAAAATGAAACATAAGTACATATATCCCCCCAAATTATTCCAGGATATGGAAGAGATCCATTGATTTGATCCAGAAATATAGACTGTCAAAGTTACTTAATATTTTGTCAGCCATATTGTTTACACTATGTGAATTTCAGGGGCTGGCATAAATTTTAAAAAATCAACTAATTTTGATGAAAGTAAAATGAAACATGAGTACATATATCCCTCCAATCTATTGCAGAATATTGAAGAGATCCATTCATTGGATCCAGAAATACAAACTGTCAAAGTTGCCTATAATTTTGTCAGCCATTTTGTTTACACTGTGTGAACTTCAGGTGCTGGCATAAATTCAAATACATGAACTTATCTTGTTGAAAGTAAAATGAAACTTGACTACTTATATCACTTCCACATATTCTGGAATATCAAAGTGATCATGACTTTTGATCCAGATATATAGACCGTCAAAGTTGCTTAATATTTTGTCAGCCATATTGTTTACAGTGTGTGAACATCATGTGCTGGCATAAATTCAAACATATAGAATGATCTTCTTCAAAGTCAAATGAAACATAACTACATATCTCCTGTCACAACTCTGCAGGATATAGAAAAGATCCTTTCATTTGATCCAGAAATATAGACTCTCAAACTTCCAAACATTTTGTCAGCCATATTGTTTACAGTATGGGAATTTCAAGTACTGGCATACATTTCAATACCACAACAGATTTCTTTAAAAGTGAAATGAAACAAAAGTACATATGTAAGTCCAACATATTGCAGGATATTGAGAATGTACATGTTTTGGATAAAGAATTATAGACTTTCAAACATGTTCAAAATTTTGTCATCCATATTGTTCACACTCAAAACTGCTTTGGGTATCAACTATAAGCCTAGGGAGAAATTCTCAAAGAAAGAAAGCATCTTCTCCCAAATAAAGTAGAATAGTAGTACATATACACTTCTAACATATGTTGTAATTTCAAAGAGATACATGCCTATTACTCAGAAACATTTGCATACAAGAATGATACACCTAGTGTAATACATTGGCCAGGTCCCCCCTCCCCCACCTGCAGTAAATGTGTGTATTCATGAATGTTTGGATGTTATTTTAAACACTTATGACCATCTATGAGCTGCACTGCCAGTAATATTATTGTGGAGTAGGAACCCATGATGGAGTATCAACTTAGAAAAGGCCATACAAAGTCATTAATGGTGTATGAATAGAAATGTAATGCATGTACCAGAGGATTATCCATGCAATGTTATGTGATGCAGTCTGAATGTTGACAGTATTTCAGTTACTGATTGTCTGCAGAAAGAAAAGCAAATGGTACTTTCATTTCATTATTATTCTCTTTATTTTCTAGTTGAAGTACAGGACCAAGTGAGGTACTGGTTTGTTCTGCACCAGGAATGTGGAGTTCATCCCTGCCTTAGACACCAGATCACCTTCTATTGCTATCTTCAAGTCCCATTCATCATTTACTGTTAACACCAGAACCATTTAATGTTAATACCTTGGATTAAAACATGACAATGTATTTTAAAGATATATTGTTTATCATTTATTTTTTCATTATAATAATGCTGATAATTTGATATCTATTTTTGGATGACTTGGGATTCCTCATCCCAACTTTACCTGGACCTGTAAGCAAGCTATACAAGTAATTGATGCTGGTCAAGCGATTGCATTGTTGGCATTATAATGTTCTATTTTATGATATCTAAAGTGCATGTGTATGTGGTAGGATCAATTCTGGGAAGATATACCTTAATTTATTGGAAGGTTGTAGATACATGCATTTTGACTAGAATCATTATAATTATGATAGGAATAACTTGTTATGTCACTGTGTACAATTTTTAAGATATTGTTTTCATAAATCCAAGGTATTGCCTGTATTGTACCAATTTTTGTGCATTCCTTTTGATAGTCATTAAAGACAAAACCTGTCATGAAATTGTCTGTGTTGCCTTATTTTTTTTATTCTTTTATAAATAATCATAGTATGATTTCACAAAAAGAAGTTCAGCACAGTGGAGGCATTGGGTGATGACAAGCTAGAAGTATCATGTTTTCACATAAGACAACTATCCAATAATTTCCTGAAAATTATCCCAGTACCAAGAAATTTCATTGGAATGGCCTAAGTATAAGTTTAGGATAAATATTTACATATCTTGATAATGATGTGTACAAAATTTCTAAAAAATCAACAATCACAACATGAAAAACTCGCTAACACATGTGATGTAGAACAGGAAAAAATTTGACTTTGCCGCCAGGAAGTCTACCCATCGTCCCCTGAGCGTGAAACGAGCCTCGATCTCGTGAGTGCCGCCGTTTCCGTACCTCTCTATTATTACCATGGACAAACTCTCCAAATACCCTCAAAACTATCCCAGAACACACCACGCTACCCCATTGGTGTCTATGTTTTAAACAAAAAGTTACGTTACAGACTTTATTTCAGGGGCGATAAAAAAAATTCCTACCGTTTTGTGTTCTTTGGTATCTTACCAACCAATGCCTTTCTTGATGTCCTTATCGCCCCTTATTTATGCTGAAATATTGACGATGAAAAAACGGCGTAATCTAATTATCTTTTCCATAAGTGGCGCAATCTAATTATTTGTTCAATTAATACTTACATGCAAATAAGGTGAGAAAATCAAAACACGCAGGATGAAACTGGCGCTCACTGCATTAGTCATCCTCATATAATAGTATTCAAACCACAGGTCAAGCAAAGTAAAGCAAGTAATTTCTCAATAATCAGCTTGTTAGTGTGCTTGTCTCCTACCATTTTCGCCGAAAAATGTTTATGTTGAAATGTATGAGTATTGCGTAAGCCAGAGTTCCCGGAT